GTAGGAGTGGCAGTAGTAGGAGTAGTAGGAGTAGTAGGAGTAGGAGTAGGAGTAGGAGTAGGAGTAGGAGTAGGAGTAGGAGTAGGAGTAGGAGTAGGAGTAGGAGCAGCAGCAGTAGTAGCAGTGGCAGCAGCAGCAGCAGCAGCAGCAGCAGTAGTAGTAGTAGTAGACGTCGTCGTAGTCATCGTAGTCGTAGTCGTAGTCGTCGTCGTAGTAGTTGTTGTTGTTGTGGTGGCAGTAGTAGTAGTAGTAGTAGTAGTAGCAGTAGCAGCAGCAGCAGCAGCAGCAGCAGCGGTGGTAGTAGCAGAAGCAGTAGCGGTAGTTGTTGTTGCCATCGTAGTTGACAGTTGTTCGCAGCCGTCGCAGCGGCAGGAGTCGGAGTGTGAGTAGGAGCAGGAGGGGCAGGAGGAGGCGGAGTGGCACAGTGGTAGTGATTGCATCATCTGGCTGCAAGAGAGTCCCGACCTCCCGGCGCTTCACGAACTCAGCCATGGCCAGTTTTCGCAGCTCCTGGTGGGATTCGTTGTCTAACTTCTAGAGCGAAAGCCCTTAGGCTTTCGGAAGGGTCTGAGTCTCGGGGTTTTATGGGGTCCCTGAATTCCTGAATCCTCAGGGTCCTCAACCCCGGAGGTCATGACTTGCACAAAAGGCACGTTACACTCCAAGAAGTCAATCCGGCTGTGTCAATAGGCGGTGCCGGCGGTGCCTGGCTGCGAACGTCTTCTTTTTCCGAGCTCAGTGGCTTCTTGAGCGCTGCCGCCTCACCTCGAGCGGGATGTGTAAAGGAGGGTACAGTTGACTCACAATCGGTATGTCTAGGACGAGTTAGCAGGTAACAGCTAACACCTTCCATTATCCATTATGTTTATTCTGATTCGGGGCTTGCACATGACCGCCGGTGATGCGTTTCTGACCCTTTCTGCCCGAGAAGCCCGGCCTTGGGCGACTGCACGGAACATGCAGTTGCCGTCAGGTTTGGTCGGGACGACACCTCCGCTGTGCGGTGCATACTCCTGCAACCTCCACCCAAGCTGCACCTCAAGCTCATTCTCTCATAGTTTGCAGATCCGAGTCTCGGAGACCGGGGAAAGGTGATGCCTCAGGCTAGCAGACCCCATCGGCCCGAATCTTTCCACTAGGTTTCACCGAGGCCATGGCAGCTGCCGCCGCGGCCGTGCTGAAAGCGGCCTGGTGCAGCCAAAAAAACTTCACAACACCCGTTGATCCGTCCGCTTGGTTGTGCATGCATGCACCTAAAAACATGTATGTATGTGTGTACATGAATGTGTGTGTGTGTATGTATGTATGTATGTATGTATGTATATATATATATACATACATATGTATCAGTGTCTTCAGAAGGCTCACACAGACGATGAGGAGGAGGAGGAGGATCCTAATGCCAATTTGTAGATAAGAGAGATGCTCACAAGAACTGTTTGGTTGCGCTGTCTCGTGATTTCCGGCTCCCGATGCTCTCTGCAGCGGCTTCGCACAGACCGTGCCTAGTCGTGGCTTCCAGTCCCTGATGGTGTTCCAACGCGTTAGTTACTGTTGTTTCCTGGAAACGTATCGACTGGGCCTCGTGTTCTGGTATGGAAGGTCAGCCCTGCAAATGCTCAGAATATCTGAGAACTATGCTGGTAAGAATACAACATGTACCCGTGCACGGAAAAGATAGCAATCATGATGCTAATGTTGATAAGATCATGACGATGATGACCACGGAGCGTTCTAACAACGGGGCATTACTGCCAATATTTGGCTATGGAAAATTATAGACTCGTTCTTGCGGAGATCTAAAAAATAATGTGAACAACATGGCATATTAACAGCTTCAGGATTCTGGCAGGTTCAACCAGCCTTTGATAGTACCTACCGTGGAAACAGAGCCAGGCGTACGAGGCTTCCGGAGACGCAGCCCGCCAAGTAAAGCCAGCCTCCAGTTGACTATTGAGAGTTTTTTGAGTTCAGCGTAGGGCTTAAGGCTCAGGCATGCCAGGATCGAAAAGAGCTTCAAAAGATAGCTTCGGAAGCACAGCCTACACCTTGCCAGTACATTAGAGCCTGTACGTCGCGATCCTCAGGATAAGAGGGGGGGTGTAGAGCAGAGCGAAGTGCAAGACATCAAAGACAATGTGATATGGAAAAGCAGATGATGATATCCTTCGCTTTAGGCAATGGCTTGGTACTTTCTGCAAGGTTGGACTAAGAAGAGGAAGCCAATTTCTCCCCGGCCCCCTCCTCCTTCCCTACCACTGCTATTGCTACGCTAAAGTTACATCATCCCCCTCGCTCAGAACGAAAGGATGCTCATGGTTTGTGTGGTTTGTTAGGCCTACTCAACTACTCAGAGCCCCGGGCATTGGGCTTTAGGCGCCAAGATGTGGCGCGCGTGCACGGCCATGCGGCGGCCAGGGGAAAACCTCGGCTCCGTAGATCTCAAGCAGCAGTGATGACAACATATGACAACCAGATTAGATGTCAATGAGTCTACTATGCCACTTTCGTTCTTGCCATCGCTACCAGGTACGCGCATTATCGACCGGCTGCACTGCAGACAGAGGGGAGAAAGGGCAGAGGCGGCTGTGGCTCGAGGACTTTGCATATGGATTTGGCGTTCAGGGTGGGTCTGATGCTGGGGATCCTTGCAGCTAAGAGACATGCAGACAGAAAAGGCCAAGGCCTCGAGGCCTGACAAACAGGACATAGAAGCTCCTGGATGCCACGGTAAGACGATTGCTGTGCTACTCCTGAGCCAGAACGCCCGGATCCCCCGCGCTTCTGCAGGTGGGGATGCTCGCCCAAAGGAGATCTCTACAGTGAGCGCAGCCAGCTGTAGTGAGTGCTGTAGTGTAGCGCAGCCGCAGCTCTCTGGCCCTGGTCCCTGGTTCTCTGCCAAACTTTTTTGTCCTCAGCTTCCTGCAGCGCCGCATGAAGCTGGCAACGCTCCCCCAAGCCATCTTCGACGCCCTGGTACTCCTCTGTACTCTGACAGCGATGGATACAAAGTTATAGGAGTGCTGAGGGCTAGGATTCGGCACTAAACTCTAAGCTGAGGGCTCAGGGCTTGGAGTTTAGGGCAAGCCCGGCAAGCCCCAAGACCCGAAGCTCCAACGATTTTTAGGACCTTAGCTGAGGACTCCAAAGGTTCAGAGTCCGAGAGAACTGGCTTTCGTGACGTGGTTTGGGAGGGTTGGGGTGTTGGAAGGTTTCGCGGCTGTGGGGAGTGTATTAATCCTTATCAGCATCAGCCTAATGAAGGTCCACTGATGAATAGTGAGGCAGGTATAATCAGGCTCTTGGCCCTCATACCTGGGCGCGCTTGGCAAAGCCACACGAAGATTGGGCACTCACCGCCCTGCCATCGGGAATGGCAGATCGCTGCAGGTCGGCGAGGAAGGCAACGTCCTCGGCGCAATACCTCAACATTTAGGGTTTAGGGTTTTAGGGTTTAGGGTTTAGGGGTTTAGGGTTCAGAAGTGGCAATCTGACGCATGCGAAATACTTGTAGCTGCCAGTTGCACGCAGCAAAACTCTTCGCGGATAACTGACATAGTTGCGGATCAAACCAAATGCGAATCACAATCAAGAAAAATGAGGGGGGCGACGAGGACGACTTCGCGACGAAAACTAGAATGAGCATCATGACGAGTCTGCAGCTTCATCAGCATTATGCTAGTCTTCGTCATTATCTTCACCAACAGGATCACGCATGCCTCATGACCCCAAGTCTTGCTGTGATGGTTGGTAACCATCGATGACTCCGGTACCGACGCTCATGGAGGGTTTATGTGGACTGCGGCTCCTTGCAGCTGGGCGGCCTGAGGTTCGCCCCTTGGGCCTCCGCCCTCGTGAAGGAGAAGATGTCGCGAAACTGCTTGGGAGAGATCTGTATCGGGCAGCTGAAGTGGGCTGGCACAGCCCGGACAAAGCCCCATGAAGAGATAGTGTCCTCGGCACGGTGACTGGATCATACAGCATCATAAACGGCACTGTGTTGAGGCGAGAGAAACGGTTTTCCAGGTCTGGGCGAGAGTCAACATATGCCCGGGTCTTTTCGGGCTGCTGCTTCAGGATGAGCTCTTGGATGATGGGCGCCACGAAGGGCTTCCTCGCGCGGAGTATATATGACGTGCATGCGAAGACATGGAAGACTGCGCCCCCGTTGCAAGGCATGCTCGTACGACTCTCGTCATAGCCCAGGAGCCCATCGTTACGAAGGCGTCGGAAGCTTTCCTGCCGAACACGGGATCGCGTGGGCTTATATATTGTCTAGACTACAATTACTGCCCTACTACTGCTGCTGCTGCTGCTGCTGCTGCTGCTACTACCACTACTACTACGACTACTACGACGACGACGACTACTACTACTACTACTACCACTGCCACTGCCACTGCCACTGCCACCACCCTTGCCACTGATTGCACTACTGCGGCTAGTCTAACTGCGCTAGGCTTTTGG